GCATCGTCCGTGTACGCCGTTTTTAACATTTCAAGAGTTTCTGTTCCACTTTTCCCGAGAAAAAAGCATAATTTCACCGCCGCACGCTCTTCACGAAAATCAGCCATTGCAAAAACGACTATCACACAAAACAGTTGTCACTATAAACTCTGCCGAAACTAGTCCTTACCTTCTGAAGCAACGGTAGTCGGCTTATAGACTCAGGAATGTTAGCTCTATACGCTCATAGCGGCAAAACGCGGTACTACAAAAGCTCTGCCCACAAAAAAATTAGTTCTGTTTTTTTGGGTACCCCATCGTGTATATATATATATATATATAATTTGTTTAATATATGTTTCAAAATCAATAAAATATAATGTAATGGCAATAAAACTGCTGACATATGCTACTGAGTACATTTCCATACCCATGTTGAAATCCACCCCTTTCACTATGTCACATATCCTTGGCAGCAGCAGCAGTGTTAATGAGGTGCTCATCCTGGAAACAAGCAGGTGAAGAAAGACAGGTTTACTTCTTTCAGAAAGACCCAGTTACTTATCCCTATACTTTCTTGGATCCAAAGACTTAAAAGAGAATTATTATCACAAAGTGGAGCATGTGTTGCACCCCTGAAACTATCAAGTTACTAATTTCATTGACAAACAGGCTGCGACACCCTTCGGAAAGAACCACTAAAAGAAATTGAGAGGACATCCTTAAATGATTCACTAGCATATTTGAATTAAAAAATAATACCTACTACTTTACATTCAATTATTAAAATTTTGTGTGCATTTAAATGTATTATTTTTACAACTCTCATCATCTTATTCTACTCATTGACTCACTTTCAAATGCATGAAACATAATATTGTACTTTTCTGGCATAATCTTTGTGACATGTATGTTGATCTCCAGGGTCAGGACAGAATAAATGATAATGGTTTGTTCCTCACACTGCATTCTGGGGGAAATTTGAGAAACCTTGCATAATTTGCCCCATTATTCCCATTTACCATTTCCGTGTTAACAGAATATGGCTTCATTATAAATTTATGGTATATAAATATGACAGAAACAACAATATATTTATAGGTCTGGCAATATGTAACAGGCAAAGAGGCCTTTTGAATTCTAAATTGCCTCACTGATTGATCCAGTGATTGAGGCTAGCTCTTTCTAATTTACCCAACAGAATAGGTGTTCCCTTTTCCTTCACCTGAGGACGGAAACAGATCCATTTTCCGAAACGTCATGTTTTTGTTATCTTAAAAACTAGGACAATGGATAAAGTCCAGAAACCCAATATATCAATGACCAATCCAATTAGCCTTCCGTTTTCTTATTTCATGTAGGATATTCCTCTGCTCGCTGACTCCAATCAACACTTCTTAATTTCTCACATAATCGGTCCAACTGATCTCCATCCTTCTACAAAACCACATTTCGAAACTTTCCAGATGTTTTTCGATCTACTGCCCTAAGTGTCCATGTTTCAGCCCCATACAGAGCTATGCTCCAAATGTAGCATTTCAATAGTTTCGTCCTCAAATTTAAGTCCAATTTGCTGGTAAAAAGATTCTTCTTCTTGCTAAATGCAGCTTTTGCCATGGCAATCCTGGATTTAATTTCACAAGTACACCTTCCATCATCTGTTAACAAGCTACCCAAATATTTAAAACATTTCACATTCTCCACTTCTTTTTGGTCTATCTTTATTGTGACTGGGGTTGGTTGTCTCGAAATTTTCATTACTTTTGTTTTCTCCACATTCATTTCCATGCCATAGCACCTTCCAATTTCAATTAGTCTATCAATCATGCCCTGTAGCACAGTTTCTTCCTTAGCCATTAACACAAGGTCATCTGCATATTTCACAG